TGATAAACCGTTTCAGAAGAAATCGTTGTAGGCAACCCTGTTCACCAACGAGAAGATACGGTAGAAAATGTGCTCAATAAGCAGAACGACAGAATTTGCGCGTAGTCAAAAGGAAAAGAAGTGATACAGCGGAAGGCTCACTTACTTACTTTAATGGTCTTTGCGGAAATCGTTATCTCGAATATGTTTCCCAACAAGCCGGAGACAATTCGTTTATACTAGCTGTGTGCCACCGTTGATGCCTTCTTTCGTCGCTTTCGGGCTTGTCGTCGTCGACGACCCCGTACTATTACGTAAGCGCCCTACCCCCCGCTATCAAGTGGGGAGGGGCGCGGTGGGATTAGGCTCGTGCTCGCTTTACAGTGACTTGTACCTTTCACACTTCTCTCATATACTTGTATACTTGCTTTTGCTCAGCGTGAACGGTCAAGCCGCCCACGCTAATATCTCGCTTTCCCTCCGTAATAAATATACTGAACCACCATTGCTTGTATTGTTTTAAAAAGGGTAAATCACCCAGTCTTCTCGCACCCATCCTGGTTAGGGCTTGAGTAAAAGCAGAAGTTACAATGTAAGGTTCTAATGGGAGTTAAGTAATAAATACTTTCAAAATCAGTTTGTTCTATTAGCTCCCTATTCGTTTTTGAGGATGTGATAACTGTGTCATCATAATTTTAGCCCACCTTAATCCCCTTTCATTTGATACGAAGTTTAGCAATTTAACATAACCCTATGTGGCATTAAAATACACAATGTATCACTCAAATTCAAACTTTTATAATTAGATAGCTGAGAAATTTATTTTCGTATTTACAGGAATTTCTTGATCTTGTCATGAATGAAATTGCGAACAAACTCTCATGGGAAAACGTATGTGATTATTGATTCAATTTTGTGCGAAGTCAGTCTTTCACAAATTTCTGTCATATGGTGTTGTATAATCGAAGTATGTCTGCTCAAGAAATCAAAACTATGCATTGAAAGATCGCTTCGACTGAACAAAGCCCATCTGGGGATCGTGCTGTCAGGACTACCAAGGGGAAAGAAAAGTTTAACGGCGTTTAGAAAGATAATTAAGTACAGTGGAATGGGTTGCACCTTGCCGCTAGTTGCAATATCGTCTACTCATCGATTAGGCAAAGTGGTTATCGTCCTTCTGAAGGATAGTATTGCCACTTTGCCTAACCGATGAGTAGACGTCGGCTTGGCCAAGGAATACCTGCGAATATAATGCATTCTGATATTCTATAACACTTAACCAAGGCTCGTGCACAATGCTATCCTGACCGCTTTTGTCCGTTGGGGTCACACCAGTTTTATTCAATCTCGGCATATTAGTATTACAGAAGAACTTCATCTTGTTCTCACCGCGACCTAAACAAACGAAGTGCTAATAAGCCTGAAATAAATAGTAACCTCCCGTAGTCACTTATTTCTTTTGATACTTGAAGTTGAGTTTGGCAGCTGTAACTGCTTCAAGCAGTCCATAGCCTTGAAATAACAAGATAAACGTAAATGAAGATAGGCTCCATTTGCCTAATAAAATGATTGGCTTCAACAACATCATAGGAAGAGAAGTAGCTCAAATGTGCAGCGGTTGTATTGAAGATCATCTTGCTTTTTGCTTCGTAATTGAATTCGCCGGTGTAAATCTCCCCTGGTTTACGATTAAAGGTGTTCCCCTTGTCAGAATCGTGACTTACGCAAAAGACATATTGACAGAACTTTGTGATTGATTTGATAAATTCTTCATTGAGAATAGAATGTGTACCTCGTTTGTTTAGGGAATGAAGGATTGTCCGTTCTACTACGCGGTCTTCGTCGAGCGAAATATTTTCTTCCAGTTTGATCCGCAAAGGACGGGAAAGATATCAATATTGGTATGAACGTTTGAACATATTGACGTTTGTTAAATTTTTCTGTAACTGGGGGTGTGCAATGAAGGAAGAGAAACCTGTATTTTGCTGTTGCTCGCGACAACAGTGTTGTGTGCGCGTTCTGGTTCCTTTGGATATGTTTGGATACTGTTTGACAGAGCTTGGGATGGTTGTATTAAGAAGAACATCAAATAAATTGTGGTCCCATGGAGCCATCCTTGGATCAGTATGCTTGCGCAGAATGCGTCGAGGTTATGACGTGAAAAATGAGAGCAACATTCGAACCTAAAACCTAACCCTTCTTAAAAATGTGGAAACAAAATTCATGGGTTTCACACTGCTGGCTCAGCGACTTGAAAAAGCAAAATAATGCACTCAAAAATATTAGCTATTTTCAGATATATCCTCTCTGAACCGATGCTCTTGTTCTTCACTTAAATGCTTGTTTATCACTTGCGGGACAGCAGGACCCGAGACATCGATTTGTTCTTGACCCATATCGGCAAAGCTCCTAAAGCATGTAAAAAATGTAGTGAGGACGCCATCACAGTTCTCCCCGTGTCCAGACTTTCTGAGATTCTTATTATGAATTCTTGAACTATGCTTTCATCGGTGAGAGGCGGTGGTGTAGTGGCAAGTGGCGCACTAATGCACGTATGACTTAAGGTTCGGATCATGGATTGGTACCCGCCTAGGACAACCAAACCTTCCATCACCCCGGTACATTAGCACATCGGCTTACCACCGCGATTCATTGTACGGATTACGATCTGAATTAAAGTCGTTCTGGGGGGTGTATCACAAAAGGGGTTGATTATCGTCAAAGACTTTATCTTTTGCACTTCACTTCACTAAACCATCCTATTCAGAATTTTTTCTCTCTTCAGCTTATTGTCATCCTCCATTTTCCTAACTGACATGCTCTCTGAAAAACTTGTTATGATTTTTTGATTATAATTTCATCTTCCACGAAACACTTTTGCTCGCAATAGGTAATCGGTCCTTTCTTTTTCGCCACTTCCTATGCACTTTTCCCGGTTTTCCTGCTGTCCCAGACTATGGTGATATTTCAGTTCTGGCCCTGCCCATTTGTGAAATTGCTCTGCCGACTGAAAACATTTGATTAAACGTCATTGCTAATTCTTTCCCTTGCCTCTAGGCTGGATAGTAATCTGTCGTGGAATTTTTTGGCTTTTACTCTGCATGCCTCGATAGATGCTTAGTTGACTTATGATTTGGTTGTTTTTTCTTTTGATGGTGTCATTTTACTCTTTTCCCAGTCTTTTGTTCATCGTACAGTAGAACTGTGAATTACTCAGTGAACATCATCCAGATAAAGAGTTATCCGTCCGTAGCGAGCGAAACTTTGCTTTGTTATCGGAATAAAATGTTTCGCTTCTGGCATCGCCCATTTCTATGCGTGCCTCGTTCACTGTAAGCAGGCAATCGACTCAGGGTCGGCAAAAACATCATTCAAGGGATACGGAATTTGTTAACCACGCACATTGCTTATTATACAGTAAGCATTGTTGAAGTGATGGGCCTTCAATACTCTTTGCTATGTGGAGGTTCTACACCCCGAAAATTTTTTCTTTCGATAGAGAATTGAATTATTTACTGAAAAGATACTCTTACAGGAGCTCGCCTCGACACGAGCGTTGGATGACCTTTTTGAGGTGTTAAGTAAACAGAAACGCAAACCTGCCGATAAATCATGGGATACGTCATCTTCTTGGTGAGTGTCCTTATCTGTTTTTTTTTTNTCCATTCAATGTATATAGCTTGGTTTGTAGGTGCTCACTGAGCAGATTTTGGAAAGCCCTGGAGCAGTTTCGTTTATGTGATAGAGACGGTTCTGGAATGTTGTCTCTGGAGGAATGTCGTGGATTGAGGGAGTGAGGGCTAAGATATTACCGTGTTCTTATACTCTGCTTGTTTAGCAACTGTTCTTCTACTCAGGGGTACAATCACACCTCTGTTTTTGGAACGAGTGTTTGCAAATCAAATGTTATACGGCGACCAGCCTCCCCACGAGATGGATTTCCGTGGATTCGTGGACCTCGACGCTGCGATTACCTGGAAAAGTGTATGTACCGCTCGTATTAGAATGCATTTATTTGAAAACATTACCTATTTCAGCAACCAGCATCTATTCGGTGGCTGTTCCACATGCTCGATTTGAGGGATGACGGTGTACTAGATCGTGATGAAATCAAAATGATGGTGAATTATTGCGGTTGGAGTGTCTTACTTTATGGCCGCTAACGCGTGGATCGCCTCTCCTCAATTGCTTGTGTATAATCTTACTTGAGATGAAACAGAAACATTTTTCGTGCGCGGTGTACACGACAAAATTCGGCTCCATGCTGTGAATAGCACTCATCAAGATGTTTGTGATCAGATCCACGCTTCACTGATGCCTAACTCATAACTTCGTCAATTCCTTTTCAGGTTCAAAGCATGCTATTGAATCTGTCCACGGTGGAGAACTGGTCAATGAGTTACAACGCCGATGACATTGTGGACGAGATTATCGATATGATAAATCCAGCTGAAGAGAATAGGTGCGAAAGAATCCTACTGAAATGTATACACACTAGACACCTTAAGCATTTACTGGTTAGAGATTAAGGATAAGCTAGTGTCGGCATGTAAAATGTTCGGCTTCACTCGAATTCTCTAAGTTGGGACTTGCAAACACTTGCTCGTTGAAGGCGGTTCGGGAATCTTAGCATCTCGCGGGCTTCTAAAATTTTCTCGGATTTTCCATATTATGAAAAAATGTGACGTTTCCCGGGATTTCCTTTTTTCTTGGAAATTTCGAATATACTGAACCATACTCCACTGATAACACACCGTACCGTCCGATCTTGTAAGTTCAACCCTGGGCTCGGTTAGCCCTAGAATCGGAAATGATAAGCCTTTGAATATTTCTCGAGTGCTCTTCAGAAAGGGTCAAAGTTCAAGTTCTACAAAGTGCCACTTCGTCGTATGTTTTCATTCGGCAACATCGAGTACTTTTGGTTCGAGAGGACTGTTTTCAGGATTTTGGTCGAAGACGTGATTAACTGCAACATGGCGGAGTCAGCGCTAGGTATCCTCGTCGACTACGTCTCTTTTCTGAAATACGAAAATCGTGAAGAGGATGCGGCTAATTAACGTCGTTTCCTTCACAAGGACTTCTAATATTCGTGAACTGATCTCTGGAAACTCCTTAATTGATGTTCTATGTTATTGTCGGCCTTTTGTTGAATTACCTTTTATTTCGATTTTTACAATTTGCTCCGATTTGATCGAACCAAATTTAATGTCTTTCAGCATGATACTACCGATGATTTTTCGCTAAGGGTTCTTGCTTTTCACTAACGCTTATTCACGACTGTTCGTCTCAGTTGACAGTAAAAAATTAGGACGTTGATTATTGAGCATATGAAAGGGAAGGAAAATGCTGTCTGCAACCACTTTTTGGAACCTTCACCACACGACTTGAAAAATCCTACTCTTCGAAATACAGCCAATTCCGACACTGTGACGATGATGTCAACGTGGAACGACAGCCGGCCAATGTCGATCAATGTTACAAACAGAAATGCATGCCAGCTTAAGCATTAGGTCATCTCATTCGGAAGTGGCCAAGCTTTTTGGCAAAGGTGGTGTAGTGGCAAAAGGCGCACTTCACACACATAAGGTCACGGGTTCCGATCCAGGATCGAAATCCGCTTTAGCCAACTAAGCCTTTCTTCCCTCCGGGGTCGGTGAATTGATATCAGACTCGTCTGGGAGGATGAAAGCACTGATTCGTATATCGGCTAGCCATCGCAGGTCATTGTATAGGCTACATACGCACTCATTTCGTCATTGCGATTCTGAATGGAAGTTGAACGCAGGGCGCATCCCTCAGACGGGATTGATTAACGCCAAAAACTTTATCCTTTATTCAAATGTTGACGAGCTTTAGCAGAAAATTTATTGTCCAGATATCTGGGTTCACTCGAGTAGGCTTCATTCTTCCTAGAGACTGAGTTCCAGCATCTGGGCACCTTGCAGCTTTCCTTCAGTGAGTGCGGCTATGTGGGTCTGTTTCGGCGACGTACTGGTCAACGCGATTTCTATTGGCTTCATGCTTTAGTGTGATCATAAGCAACAACGGTAACTCGTAACTGTGTATTGTCATCCATCTTTCGATAATTTTGTGGCGGCGTATCGTATCGTTTGACCGGTTACATTTCAGCAGTGACGGTCTTTTTCAGGGATAGAGTTCCAAACCCGTCGCCTGTGACATTTTGGCTCAGCGTGCAAACTGCCCCATGTTTCGCCTGTAATCCATGTCCGTTCCGAAAGAGGCGAGCGCTACGACGGCGGAGAAGATTGCTACTGTAGACATTCGATTTCAATGAGTAACGGGTAGGAACTGGAATTAGTAGAAGGTGTTAAACCCTATGAAAACATAATAAAGCGACAAATAATTAAAATGAAATGAAAGTGAGCTCGTTCCGCCTCTTCACCAGACGAGCTCCCGTTTCCACCTTTCCATGAGGCTTGAACCTCTACATCCATAAGAAACTGAGGTATCATCTACCTGTGTACACGTCGCCTTGGTCGACTTCAATTTTTTTGGACCATTCGGCGTGAGGTCTCAACAGAGTTGCCATGCTAGCGTGGAATTTCAAGTGTGGTCCAGTCCCATGGCTTAACGCTTGTTTGCGTCTTTCCGCTCTTCTTGGGCAAAATCGCTCGCGTTCTTTATTCCTTGAACAGTAACACCGACTCTTCGATATTACGGCAACGAATCAGAGGGCAATGTGCCTTGAAGATGTAAATCCAGCTCGTGATGAACTTTTACGGCGGCTTTTCCTTTTCAGACGGTACGATTGGGAATCCGCGTTGACCTTGTAGCCTTATGTTTCTTTACAGTTTTTGACCATCTTCTTCTGAGCCATGGTGACGAAACTGACAGTGACGTAAATAGCTGTACTATACGATGAAAGCACTGTCGATCTGGCTAGCATCTCTCCTTCTTTCTCCTTCCGATAGATGTTTCAGCGCTTTTGAACGATTTGACCCAACACAATGAATTTCCTACCCTCATTCAGCAAATCTGATCGTTTTGCTCTTTGATCTCTCATCACAAGGCCATGGCAGTAAATGTAAATGATCCCATGACTGTTGGATCCCTATTCAATTCAGATCGTTAAGAACGTGAGAAGCTGCCGTGGAATCACGGTGGATTCACTGAAATTTCGAGCTAATACAGTTTTTCCTTTTGTTTCAACAATTGTTCGGTTGCTTTCTTTTCAATGTTGCCAATTCATTAGAAAAATAAAATTTTAATTTGAAGGTTGTCTGTGGGCAATGTTAATCAATGGTGACGTCAATTGTCCGACGAAAATCCATTCCTCGATCGTGCAAAAATGGATGCGTTTGTCGTCATCGTGCTTCTATTCTCACACTAGCACCTTCCTTGTCCCAGCTGTCTTATGATTAGTCTCGCACGATCATGAAGTGGTGATTTTCTAGGTTGGGGAACGGGGAGTCCGGGAACTTCTCCCTGAAGACGGCGTCGCGCACGCCGCACCCGCCGTGTATCGCAGGATTGCGATGGCAGATTGGAGCGCGCAACTTGTGAGGTAGCGAGTCCTTTAATTATTTGAGTTGGCTGACCACTCTCTTCAGTTTCAATGTAGTCTTGATCGTCGCTTACATAGGACGAGTCATTCTAATTAATCAAGTCTAAAAAACATAAAAATGAAAAAGAAATAGAAAAAAAGAGATCAAATCTAATAAAAAAGAAGGGCAATTAACGAAAAATTCCGCGTCCTATCGATTAGCGGGGAGGCGGGGGGAGTACGGTAGTTGCAGTGACATTTGCCGCATGCCGCAAGGGAGAATGCCGCAATCGGGGAGAAGTTCTGTTACCCGGGGAACGGTGATGTAGGGACGGATTCGTATGACCGGAAATGGCACGACTTTGGTATAACAATTTACATCTCAGATATGGGCGTTCAATGGAATTTGGAATAATGTCTTTATCTTGATCCATCTATCGAACGTAAGTGAAGGAGGTTCTGAATTTCTAATTAAC